GACGATGTATTATAGTTTTTCTTTAGTATTATTTTTCATTAAGGGTAAAAACGAAAAATCAAGACATGCTATTGTTAAAATCAAACATGATATTGTTAATCACTATATTTTAATTTATTGTATGTTGATAATGAATTAAATGTTCATTAGGTAATATAAATACACCTTTTGTCCCATATTATAAGATATTTTGGTTGAATGCGCTGGAATTAAGAAAACAAAAATATAAACAAGGAGTATTATTTAATAATTAGTTATAAATATAATTCAACCAATCATATACAAATCTGCAGAATTTAAAAGGTCAAAAGTACAAATAACATTAAAATTTGCATAGATACTAGTAAAACATCTTATAAAATGAAACAAAAACAATTTCTTTAAACATCTTATATAATGAGACAGAGGGAGAGGGAGTATTTTTAAAATACATTATTTAGTCAACGCCATTAATTGCATTCCTTGAAATGCACATTTACTATGTTGTTACAGAAACAGATGCTAGGTCTAACTGCATAATTGGCGTTAAAAGGAACGAAAGAATTTCATCTAAAAAATAAGTTTGTTTGATTTGTAAAATAAATGTTTTCCTCTTACATATATGGGAACAATATTTGTTAAACTTAAACCATCCCAAAAATAGAACGGTATAGTCCGAAAAGGGTTTACTCTGTCACAGTCAAATCAACCATTTCCTGAAAATGGTTTAGTCCACCATAGTCAATTTAACCTTTAAAAAATTTTGTTATTTGGATTGTATAGGATATAGTGCAATAATTAGGTGAGGAAGCTAGTTATTGCGAAATTTATTTTCAAACTTGAATTAATTGCCTTACGTTTTCGGCACATGTTACACAATACACATAACATTATCCTTATCTTCTTGTCGGTGGCCAATCCCTCTATTTCACAATCTTTTAATTCTCAAGCAGATGGTACAAAGTTTGACCCCAACCGTAAACCAAAATAACACAAGAAAACAATGAGTCATGTGGAGGAAGAAGATGGAGAACCGCTCAGCCCAATGGCTCGTGTGTTCCAATCGCCGGGCAACAACTGCTGCATTGTCACCATGATCGGTTGCAAAACCAAGATCAATGCTGACGTCATTCTACGTGCCTTGAACCATAATGTTTCCAAACATCCTCGTTTTTCAAGCAAATTGGTAACAAATATACTTTAATGTACTATATACATACACAAAATGATTCTTTGGATTTAACTTTTTATTGTTATGATCTCCATTTTTATATAGTCTAATGATGGTGTTAGCTGGATTAAGACTCAAGTCAATGTAGAAGACCATGTACATGTAGTGGATATAGACCCCAAAGAGATCGGTGAAAAGGGAGAAAATTTCGTTGAGGACTACGTTTCAAGTCTTACGATGCTTCCTCTTGATAAGTCAAAACCTTTATGGGACATTCACATCCTCAACGTCAAAACATCTGATGCAGAAGCAGTTTGTGTAATAAGATCTCACCATTCATTAGGTGATGGAACATCCCTCATGTCTCTCCTAGTTGCATGTACTCAAAAAACATCAGTCCTTGACACATTCCCTAGTATTCCTGTTCATAAACCGCGTAAAATAGTGCACAGAGAAAAAGGATCATGGTTCTTAAGGTCTATACTAGCGATCTTTTCATCAGCGAGATTGATTTGGAACACTTTAGTGGATATTTTGTTGGCCTTGGCGATTATATTGTTCTTGAAGGATACAAAAACGCCTCTAAAAGGTGATGTTGGTGTCGAGAGTAATCCAAATAAATTTTGTCATCGGATTGTCTCATTGGATGACATAAAAAATATAAAGGAAGTTATGAACATGGTATGCTATCGTGTTGATTTATATATGGATGCTAGTCATGAATAACTATTTTTGAGGGTGTCTCTTTTTGTTCTTCTTGTGTATGTTACCAGACTATCAATGATGTTCTACTCGGAGTTACACAAGCCGCTCTTTCACGGTACCTAAGCAATTTTCCTGGTAAAATACGACTTACGGCAGGTGTTTTCGTAAACCTAAGGCCATACACTGGGATCCAGGTTAGAAACCTATTCAATTAGATTTAATTAACCTTTTGTCACAATTATACTTATTGTAACACAAGGCAAAAATATGTATGAAGCCATTGGCAGATATGATGGCCAAGAATTCAAAATGTAGATGGGGTAACTACTTTAGCTCTATTGGCTTTCCGACCTCAATCGGTTTAGAGATTGATCCATTGGTGTATCTAATAAAAGCTAAATCAACTATGGATCGAAAAAAAACACTCAAATCTAGCTTCTTTGGCATATTCGAGTACCAAATTCATCTACAATACTTTGGGAAATAAGGTAAATGAATTGATCAGGAGAGCCCAATTTTGTTGTTATTGAACTTAATATTACACTCTTTTCATTGTAGGTAGGTGCAATATTACTTGCACGAGCTGCTTCGAACACGACCACATCCATTTCAAACATGGTTGGACCTATGGAAGAAATCAGTTTCCATGGCCATGAGATTGCTTATATTGCTCCAAGTGTCTATGGACACGCTCATGTACGTATCTCTTGTTGCAATATATAACTTATTTGGTTTTATTCTTCTCCTCTTTACCTTCTCATATAATGTTCTCTTTTTCTTTTGTAGGCATTAACAATACATTTCCTAAGTTACGCGGATAAGATGGTAATATCTATAGGGGTTGATCCTAAAGTCATACCAAATCCTCAAAATCTTTGTGATGAAATGGAGGACTTTCTGAAAGCTATGAAAGCCGCTCTCTTAGAAAGAGAGTTACTCTAATGTAGTGAATTTTTTTTTTCTTAATTTGCAAACATACGAAACAATCTAAAATTGATACTAGTATTTATGTCATTTTTAAACTTCGCTTTGCGCTTTTAAATAAATAAAAAACGTATATAGTGTACTTAGGAGTGGATCGAAAAGTTTTCAAACTCGAAAACCAAATATAGAAAAGAGTGGTGTTTTCAGTTATATCTTTTGTAATAACATCCTAGGCAGAGTGGTGATATACTAAGCTAGACCTGACCGATAGCGGAGCAAGAAGAGCCTCCGGCCATTGGTTGAGAACCAACAAAGATCGCTTTTTTCTCCTCTTTTTTTTTCTGAGCGGTTAGGACGAACATATTAATTATGATACTTTTTCAGGGGCTTCCACAAATTAATAAATTAAAGTCTACA